AAATACAATAAGACCTTATTAAATGCATGTTTTATAAATGTATTATCTTCTTTAAATACATATAATGTTCTAATTTCAAGCTCAAGACTTAGATACTAAATACATATTCTAAGTTTTGCACATATAAAAAGTTTTTCAGTCTTTTCATATGATAATCCTAACTCTAAATGCATATCATATAACTATTTTTATAAAATAATAGATTCTGATACTGATGTTGTTAACCCTATACTCAGCCCATCGAACTTAGGGTAACTATGACTTAATAACAGAGAGTAACGTGCGAGAAACTACTAAGTTACTATAGAATAAGTCCTATTATAATCAACCTTAAATTTATACTTTTAGATGAGTAAATAACTTTAATAATTTATAAACACGATAAACACAATTGACATATTGAAGGATTTTTAATATGTGTAGTTTTAGAAAGAGATTCCTTTATTGTAGAAATTTGTATATTTAGCAATCCTTAACTTTAGATTCTAAGTCTTAAACTCAAACTATTGAGTTTACACTGTTATCTCTGCCCTTTTACAAAGACAAGTTTCTATCCTATTTATATAAAAATACAATTATAAGAATTTATTATCTAATGCTAAACTATTTTATAACGCTAAGATAAATATAAAAAATAAATTATAATTTAATGATAATACTAATATAATAAATAGTAATAATAAAATATAAGAATAAAATAAATAAAATAAAAATGTTAACTAAGTTAAAAATGCTAATGATGTTAATAACATTGATCATTCATCAATCTTTGTAGCACAGTAGAATTGATCTCATATGGTATCAACGTTAAATTATTCGAAAGTAATGTTAAAATATTCTTTTAAAAAAATAAGTCTTTTATTACTATTGAATTTTGAGTATTAAATTGTTTGAAAGTGAGTTTTATAAAATAAAAATATATTTAATATTTATTTTTTTTAAAATAAATCAATAGAATAATATATTATTTAGTGTGATTTGAAAAATTAAAATCCTATTAGATAAAATTTAACTAATTTTATTTAAAATAAAATAAAATTATAGTTTTAATATCAAAAATATTTATTAAGATATATATTTTTTATTAATGCATATCCTCTTTAATGTATTCTTATTCTTAATTCTAAAGAGATATATTTAAAGAAGTCTGACTGTATTTAAAATTAGAATTCAAAAATTAGTTAATTGAAAAAATTGGAATTTCATTTTCAGATATTCTTTTTGATATCTAAATTCCAATTTCAATTATGATTTTATTAGTCAATTTCTATGTAACTATTTAATTTTAGATATGAGACCATTTGAAATTAGAATATCTAAAATTAAATTTCAAACAAATCTGAATTTCAAATATGAGGCTATCTAAAATTGAGATATTTGAAATTAAATTTCAGATAGAATCTGAGTTTAGATAAAAGGTCATCTGAAATTGAGATATCTGAAATTGAACTTCAGATAAAATCTGAATTTTATACAAATTATGTATTTATAAATAAAATTAAAGTAATATGAAGAATCTATTATCTACATGTACTGTACATAAGCAATTTATCTAATTAATAAAATTTTTATGATTTTTTAAATGTTTCTTTTATTTATTTTTCTTTACTACTCTATTATAATACAAAAATTTAACGATTCCTTTTCTCAATAATTAAGATTTGAAAATATTTATAAAAGCAAGTAATTTTATTTTAAAATTCATCTCTCAGCTTCAAAATGGAATTATTATATAAATAACTTGGTAAAGGTAGGAGTTCCTTTTCTATTTGCTTTCTTCTGTTTTAAATTAAATAGAAAAAAAAAGTGAATGTTTTTAACATGTTCTTCTAATTGAATGATTATTTTTTTGCTTTTCAGGTTTGATCACTTCGGTCTGAAGTTAAAAAAAAAAACATGAAAAAATAGATGAATACGAAAATGAATAAATCACTTATTTAACTGACGCAGCACCCGATGAGGTCAAAAATCCTAAATAAATAAAGCTAAAAAAAAAATAATAAAATAAATTTAAAAGAAGAACTTATTTGCAGAAATTAAAAAATTAAAGAAAAACCTAACATTAAGCAACAGCCCGGATGTGATCAAAATCTTAAAAAATTGGAAATTTAATGCTACAAAATTTAATAAATAAATGCCGCGAAATTAAATTATAGCCCTGTTCAATTCTGGATCGGATCATTCGGATCGGAAAAAAAAGTAACAAATCAAATCATAGTTACAATTGAACACAATTTTGTACGGCTCGATCGAATCATGTTGTAAACAATAAATATGGTTGGTTACTAGCACGCGTCACGTTAGTTTATCAGGATCGATCAGAGGCGAACACCTATTTTCGTGGATCGGTTTGACTGGCCGCTGATCGATTTAATAACCAATCATTTACAGCTGTTTTCATATTTTTCGGGACAAAACAAATTTTTGAACCCGACACTCGATCCGATATGCAAGTGTCGGAACACGTGATACAAACATTTTTGCTTTAGAGATTGTAATACGTGAATACGCGATTGCTATTAGGACAATAATGTCCGGTATTTGTTTATCGGTTTTAGTTTATTTATTTTAAATACAAAATCCAGAAACATGAGATAACCCGATATCCGCGTATCGGGTGTCGGGTTCAAAATTTGTTTGTCCCGAAAAATATGAAAACAGCTGTAAGGGCACATTTGCGGTCAATCCGATCCGATCTAGAATTGAACAGGGCTTATAATTCAGCTAAAAACTAAAAGTCTGAAATATAAAATTTTAAAGTTAACTGTATTTACGAAATTAAAAAAAAAATTTGGCATATTGTGATTGGTTAAAATAGTTTGTCTGAAGTTGGAATTCAACATAAATAAAATTTATTTTAGGCCAATCATGATATTCCAATTTTTTTTTTTTACAATTTCGAAACCGCAATTATTAAAACTGTCTTTTTAGCTAGATTATGATTAAAAATCTATTAATAATTTCATACGATTCCTTGTTTTTTTATTTGTAATTAATATAGTAATCAACTAAATAAGTTTAAAATTTACATTTCTGTTTTTTTTGAATTTATGAATTAATTGAATAAATTAAATCGTATCATTTTCACCTACGTGTTTTTTTTTTTAATATTATATCAATCCAACAAGGCAAATATACATCTACTCAAAAAAAAAAAATTATGAATTTATGTTATCACTGAGTATCACTAAGAAAAAAAGCGCTTTAGTAAACTTTTATGGTACTTCTTCTGATGGAATCAACAATTTGGCGAACTTGGAAGTGGGTGTGACATATCGTTTAATAGGGTTGAAATAAAAATTCATGAACAGTATAATGTTTTTATTATTTATTACTTTTTCCTACGAATTACAAAAGTTTTTGTCTTCTTCTTATAAATAGATATGATAATTACATCTTCATTTTAAATCCTTATAGAAATAAAATACATTATTTTTATCTAGGATTGTCTTCAAAACAAATATAATGTTGGAAATGAAAGAAATAAAAAGAAAATTTCCTGTACTCTAAAAAATTTCATCCAAGGCATTCCCGAATTATTTGGTTTAATTTTAATAAAAAAACTATAAATTTAATTATTAGAATCAATTTAATGATAAATCCAATAAGTTCACTCCTGTATTCATGATCATATTCATAATCGGTTCTGCCTAAAAATTATAATTAAAAATGGTTTAGAAAAATTTTATACTATTGAATTTAACGACAAAAATATATATATATATATTTTTTTATATGGCTTACATTCATTAGGGTAAGGTGGAGCTCCTCTTTGAGTATTTATTCAACTACATGTTTAATATCACTAAAAGCACCGTTGTCCATCCTTTTTCTATCGATCGAAGAAGAAAATTAGATTTTATAATTATAATAAAAAAATATATATATTAATAAAATATATGATCATGCTTACAGTTTTTTCAACTATAAGCCAAGCTTACATTATTATCATCATTAGGTGATAGAGATGATGCAATCGTCTTTAAATTGCGAAAGAGTCATCAATTGCTTGCCAAAGTGCTTTACCACCTATCATAAATATCATTCCTAAAAGGTTTTTCGCTCCATTCTTAGATAAACCCTTTATAACGATAGACTAACATTTTTACTCACTTTCATCTAGATATAGAGCGAGGCGACCTTAAACTTATCAATATATAATTCATTCCTTTAATCTTTAATAATGGTTCCAGTCACGTTGGTGAGAACTCATCCGCTATTAGTGTAAAGGAATGTTTGTGCAATCAAAGAATGGAGTAAGAAATTAAATTCTTCTCATTCGGGTGGTTGAATTTCTTTGGAAGTATAGGATAAACTGGTTTATCTACGCGATGAAAAATTCTGGTTATTAGAAATCGATTAAATAATTTTTTTTTGTATTCTATTTAAATAAGTAATTACTCATCAATTTCTTTTCCAGGAATCGGATTAGAATTTATTAAAAAAAAACAAAACTTAATATTTGCCATAACGAGTATTACATAAAATACAAAATAATTTTATTTCATGTATAAGTTTACTGAATTAAAAGTTTGCAAGGTACAACAATTAAAGGAAAAAAATTTTATCCTCGGAGTTTTGGTAACACTAAATTTTTTATTTTAAATCAGAATAACGATCTGCGAGTCTAATTCTTATAGATGTGATAAATTCAGACAAACTCAACAAGAAATTCTTTCAAAGAATATAATGAACGCAAATTTACAAAATATTGAAAGAATGTACTAAAGATAATTTATAAATAAAAAAATTCAAATATTGAATACAATTATATTGTCAGTTTTTATCTTTAGACAAGAAACTTAAATTTAAACATGACTAATACAAAAAAGGAAATTTTCACTAAATATTGAGAAAAAAATTTTTTGTTTAGATAAACAAAGAATCATTGAAAAATCCATTTATCAATTGGTCATTTGTAATTTGAGTGTGATTCTATTTAATATATCTTCATTATTAATGAATGGGGCAGCTTGCTGACTTTTTTTGCGTTGTCAATTATGGGGTTGATACCCGAAGGTCTGTTTGATGTCATTTTATTATATTTAAAGATGGTACAGAAATCAAAAAATTTCCAATGTACTTATAGAAAATTAGATATGAAAATTCTGTGAATCATTCAAATTTTTTGTATACCATTTTAAATTATCTATTTTTGAAAGAAGTTCATCAGTACACATAATTTAAATACTATGGAATTCTCGAACTCGTGTGTATTACATTATTTCCAATGAGAAACATCTTATATCTTGTATGCGGAGTTTCCAAAATTGTATAAAGTTGACTGATTGTAATTAAAGCGATGATCTGCAAATGTTTCGGGTCTTGCCGAGAACAAACACGCACCTCCCTCAATGTGATTGAGATGGTGCAAAAGCATTACGATCAATTTAAATAAAGATGTTGATCAGTGTTTGAGTTGAGCAATCTCTCTCTGTCTTTTTATTGGTTTTACTTATCATGACTAAAAAAGAACTTTGGCTAAACCTTTAACAAATTTAACTAATAATTTATCGTTGCAACAACAACAACGAACAAATAACTTATTCCAACAACCGTAACAACAAATAACTTGTCGTTACATCAACAACAATCGAATAATTCATCTTTACGAACAACAGTTTCAAACAAACAATTTGTCATTACAACGACTGCAACAATAGCAGTATTCTGAAGATCCTGTTTTTACCAACCATTTAAATGAAATTTCTTCAAGATATGAAGCGGTAATCTTGGATGATAATCCATTTTTCAACCCTGCTAAACCAGCTGTTGAACGAAGTCTTATTCTAACCTCGGGTTTAGCTTCAACTTCTAAAACTTATGATGCGTCTACTAATAAATCAGTGAAAATAGAGGGTAGAAGATTGTAAATATTAAATATTTGCATTTGAATATTTCGACATCTTTTATTTTCTGTAAGAATTTATAACATAAAAAGTAATATAATAATTTTTTGGATGAAGATCCATAATATAAGACGAAAACGATTGTGCAACATTTATTGTTGCTCATTCAATCAGTGTTCGATGATTCAAATGACAAATGACAAATGACATGTCATTTAATTGCTCAAATGACAAATGACCTGAGTTGTTTGAATGTAATGTTGGCCAGTACTATAGTTCTGGCCTGCATTCCGTTTGCTTTAATTTTTTTACTTTTCAATTGGAATCACATGATAAGATATCAACCAATCAAAATCACAAAGGATTAGCATATGGGCCGATTTGTCTCACTTCAATTATGTCACCTGTAACTCTGCATGTTTATCTATAGCTATAACCCTTTAAATATATGGTACATATGATAGTAAATAAAATAACACAAAACGTCCTATAAAACCTGTAATAAAATAAATAAGAATTAAAATTACAATAATAAAAAGTTTTTTTTAGAACCTTTCAATGCTATATAGGAAACATATTATTTTCGTTTTTATTTCTAACGTAATAAGAGTTATTTTTGCCATTTTACCAAATAACCTTTCTAATATTTAAATTAAATAATTTTACAATACCACTTACCATTTCCAAAAAATAAATTCCTTCCAAAAAAAACCAATTCCCGACAGGTTTTAACATTACGAAATCAAGTTTTGCAAGCGCGCGAAATCTTTGACAATTGGCTTAAAAGCCGAAATCAAAATATACGTCATGATTCATTATTTGATATCATCACTATTTTCACTATTTTCGTATATTGACATGTCGATCTAATTTCACATTTATCACTTTTATTAATTAGTGATGTGAGGCAAATCAGATATGATTGGGCAAATCAAATCATTTAAATGGAAATAGAAAAAGATAGATTATTTTTAAAATATATAAAATTGTTAACTACAAAAAATTAAACCTGGAAAATTTTTGTTAGCTTGACCTGGAAGTTACATACTTGGTTACTCTTTTCCCATGTCTTCGGCAAATAGCAATTAGTAATAGTTTTTTTTTTTTTTTTTACGATGTGGTACTGTCATAACGGTAAGTTTATAGCAATTAGTAATAGTAGACGGAGACATATTTATTTGTTTCAGTCAAGTATGAGATCCTTTTGCATAGTGAGTTTTAAAGCTATTTCAGAGCTAAAAATAAATGTTTTATTAAGTAGATATCAAAATCTCATAAAAGTACTTTATACGGTCGAATTTTTTGAGTCTATATAATGAGTAACTAGTGTTTCAACCTTTATTTCCTATTATATTTAATATTTTGAACTGATGGGAAAAATATTATAGTTTACGGAATTTAAATATTAAAAAAAGAAGATTTTTTCTATTGGTGGAATGTGTATTATGTGATCATTTTCTTGTTGAACAGAAATCCCCGTTTTTATAGAATCAAAGGCGCAATCATTGTTACCCTTTCAGACCGACTATCCTTTCTTCGTTAATAAATTATTTTGAGTATTTAAACAAACACAAAAGACAAATTAAAATATACATACGGATTTGAAACTACCCGGAAAATTTACATTTGTTTGTTTGTTATTTTTCTTTTTTGTCCTCTTTTTTTTTGTTTTTTGAACTTTTACATTACAAAGACAAATAAAAAAAAAAAAATTTTAAAATTTTGTTATATTTGAAATGCCAATATAAATAAAATTTTCTTGAGTTGTAAAAAAAAAAAAAAATTTCTAAATAAAAAAATTTTTTTTTATATCAAGCGAGGAATGAGCATTTTTTTTTTTTAACAATTACTTCCATAATTATTATTACATTGTGAAGTGTGAAATCAGAGATCTACCCTGCGTACCCTTCAAAAATGTCAGGAAATGGCCGGTATTACGTCATTAAGAAATTGACTGAGTGACAAATAATGGCGTGACAAATAGTATATCACATTCCCTAAGTCCCCATAATACTTAGTAAAAATGAAACGCGGAGGAAGTGACACCGGTGACAAAAAATATATTACGTGAAATTTCGTGACATTTTTGAAGGTTTAATTTACTGCGGCTATTTTTCAAGGGGCGACAATTTATATGATCATGATTCTGAGCTCATCCAATAAGATTATTTCATGTATCCGTGACTTTTAATGTCTAATAGGTGAAACTATGATAACATGATAAACATGGAACAGAGTCATGCATTATGATGTGATTGATGTGATGCAAATTACGCCAATACAAATGGAACTGAGTCAGGCCTGAGTAACTATTTTTAAGTTTAAACAATCCTGCATGATGTTTACGAAACATTTGCGCCGCCGCTATTTCCTATTCACTTTCATTTTATATATACATTAAAATAGATTTCCATTGGATAAAATATTTTCATTTTTAATATTGTTTCAAATTTTTTTGGTAATGTTAATGATATATTTAAAATCTTATTTTAGTGTCAAAAAGATGGCTTGGCTGAAATCTTTTATGAACAGTTATTAAAATACTAAATATTTATTCAGTACAACTATAAAAAATGTTCAAATATGTTAATGACGGAAATTCGTACTTTAATTTCCCACTCAGATTTATTAGATTTATTAACAATATTTTTGAGTAAACTAGTCAATCTCTGTATATTGTATAAAATAATAGAAAAATAATAAAAAAAAAATACATTTCTTTCTTTCATTTCAATTGCAACTTGGTTTTGAACTCAGTGGGCGCAACATGATGTTACTCAAAATAAATATTAAATTGTTATTTATGTAGTATTATCAGCGTATTTACTAGGAAGAGGAGATGATAAAAAAATTTTCATTATAAAAGTAGTCTGAAAAACCTCTCTCATCGAAGGAAAAAAAAAATATTTTTTTCAATTAAAGATAAATACGTTACACAATTCAAATGACACATAATCATCCTTTACAGAGTGACCACTTCAATTTTATTGATGAAAATAATCATTTGTTTCCGGAAACCAATTTCCAAGAGGAATGTTCTTCATCAAATACTAATTACGGCTACAACAATGATCTTCCCATGATGAACAATAATTCAATGTCTTACGTGGGTGCGATTTCGAATCAACAACAAATGGCCGGCTCTAATGCTTCAATTCAATTATGCCCTCCGTCATATGGTTCACGTTATACTGGTCATGCTAATACTAGCGAAGAACAAAATCCCTCGTTGTCTACTAATTATACCTCTTTACTTAACATGGCTACCAATCCACCACCTCAATCTAATCCTGGAATTTTCAAATTTGAAATTCCTGGTTTCAGGATTATCGTCATTCCGATTTCTTCAATTGAAAATTTAAATGTGCAAGAAGATCAATATTATATGGATAATTCTTTCCCAAACATTAATGCTAATAATTCTCAACCTCAATTTCAACAATCTTATAATTATAATAATTTTTAGTATATATATATACTTTGATTCAGTTGAAATATACAAAAAGACCTAGGATACTAAAATTGCTTGCTGAATATCTTTTACTTTACATTTATATTGTTTTATTCATTTAATAAATAAAGCCTTTAACTTCCTGTCACCAATACCGAATTAATCCTATAGTAACTATGAGGGCTAAACTTTAAACTATTAATTCGGCACGAGTTATCATTACATTGTAGTTAATACATAATGTGGATGTATTGTATTCAGAATTCGTTAATTTATAAAAGTTTTAAAAAAAAAAATAAAGTTTCATTAAATATTTAAGGTAACATCTAACAAACTTATATTATGAATGATTTTTACGTTACAAAGCTGCTCATATTTAAAGTTATAACAAGTAAAATGAAATAAAAAAAAAAGGAATTTTCAAAAGAAATACGTGTAGATAGAGTTAAGAAAATGAATAATTTGTTTGTCATATGAATGATCACCGAGTTTCCAAAGAAAAAATTACGGAATAATGGAATAATGAATATTGATTTAATTCGATGATGAAAAAAATCTAGAAGAGTTTTTTTTTTTTAAGGAATTTTTTTTTAAATATGATTGTAGAAAATCCGCACGTGATTATTATACTGTACTGTATATTGCTTTATAAGAAAAATAGTATTCGATTTATATTGTACCAGTATATATTTTTTGCTAAATGCGGCTGAAAACGAACCATTAGAATTTTTTTTAACGAGACAGACAAAAATATCAAATCCATAAGTCCTGTTATCCTGTTATGCGGAAATCGTATTTATATACGTAGTACTATTGATATTTAAGCGAGCTTTGTAATATTATGGAGTTCAAAGAATACAATGTTCAATATTATAACCATAACTTCATTAATTTATCCAATAGTTAAGACGCCGTTAATATACTAACATTCGGTGCATTTTTAAAAAAATATCGTTTATTTGATATAACCCTACCGCTTAATACTCGCCTTTATAAAGCAGATATAATATGATTTGATTATATGATTTTATGAAATTTGTTCAAAGATATGGAACCTTTGCAGTAGAAAGGGGGAAACAATCAATTTTTACTTTTATATGCCAATGATAGATTTAGCATTAACTCATTTTTTATTTTTTTCCAGCCGTTTCGTGGGTCGGACAAAATTTAGCCGAAGCCCGTTTATCGGATCACTATTTTACCGAAACGAAACTTAACTGCGCCTTTCTTCATAAAACTCGAATACGATATGCGATAAAAAATTTTATCTCGTGATAAATTTAATACGCGTATTTGATTTTTTATATAACAGGAAAAATCAAAGTGATTTGGTACAAAATCGAAATGTAAGTAATTACCGTATAAATAAATAAAGGCCTTGTAAAAGTGAAGACATTAAAAATAATTCTTTCATAATTGGAAAACAACGCGTCAGATTTTTTAAATGGCAAATTATCATAATATATAATGTATACCGCCAAAAAAAACTTGCATTATCTGTCTATCAAACGTAAACTGACTGAAAGAATTATGATAGTAAATTAGTATAATTTCATCATTGGATAATTTATAAATGAAGAAAAATGTTTTTAATGTCCCTAGTTATTTTCCATTTTAAATATAAAATAGGGAAAATATTACGAATGATATTTATATATCTCATTATATGTACTATTTACTTCGGCTAGTTGGGGTTCAATAGGGTAAAACAAATTTCGAAATACATTAATACTTTTTTTTTTTTAAGAATTTTTTAAATAAGTAATATGGGGCCACTAAACAACATGATTACACATTAAGATTATCAGCATTAGGTTAAAGTGACAAGTTATCACTAAAGATATTAAAACAATTAGCTTCCAAGTTAATATTGATGTAACTTATGCTTGTAAAATCCTTGAACAGTTAAATTTTTTTGGCCATTAGCGCCTTCAATTTTTTTCTACCATTCAAATTTTCTTTCTAAATAAATTTTAACATGGAACAAACAAATGTTTATAATTAAAAAATTGATTTATTAATAACACTTTTAAGTCAACAAACTCAACCTACGCCTGAACTCAAGTATGAAAAATGTGATGATTGCATTCGAATGAGAAAACTCTCAGATGAAATTCATCAGAATTATCGTTTTTGCTAATAAGAAAAATTGCATTAAAAATAAAGTTATTGATGATTTTGCAAGATTCACACAAATTAATCGTGTTAAAAATGCTGGTAGATTGAAATTTATTCCATACCATAAGATAGCCTCAAACACTTAGTATTTATTGCCGAAGGAGGATTTAGTAAAGTTTATAAAACTATGTTTAAAGATGGTATTTATGAGACTGTTGCTCTAAAGAAATCTAAAAACATCGAATCTAAAGAATTAAATGAGGTTAGTAACGGAATCCTATTTTATTATATTATAAATGTAGACTAAGATAAATAATTTGATAAATTTTATTTAAGCTTAAATTGTATTATGAATTATCTTTAAATTGGAATTCCTTTTATGAAATTAATAGATATATTAATCAATATTATGGAACTCAAGATCCACATACGCAAGATTTTATGATAATAATGCCGGCCATTACTGTACCTTTAGTATCCCTTACTCATTTTAAATTTATTAAAATTTTGGAGCTTATGCACGCAGTGTTAGATACTTATTAAAATTATCTTGAAAATGTACTTTAATTATTTTATTATTCGATTTACATAAAACATTTTGGTATCAAATTTAGAAATCACGAAATTTAGATTTTGGAACATACTATTTTTCTCTCGTCAAGGTGCAATTCTTGATAAAGTTGGGTGGGAAGAATTGTTAATAAAAATAATTACTATGTATTAAGAATACTTTTATTAAAAAGGTTGAGTTTTATAGTACGTAAGAAATTGCATGCCGATAAGGATTAATTTTTATTCTAATTATAAAAATATGTGTGATAGAAATTCGAATACGTGTATCTTTAAAAAGTCAAACTTACGGTGAATTGACAAATTGCATCAAAAAACTTGTTTTGTTAATTTGTTAGCAAGCTAAAATATTAAGGGCAACAAAGGGTTAGATTATGGTCTACATTGGGATCAAATGTTTACTAGGGATGCTAATGGCCACGGTAATGACCGGTCATAACCGGTCATAACCGTGACCGATATCGGTCGGTCAAAGGCTTCTGACCGACCGGTTGACCGACTTGAGATTGAACAAACCATGTTTTAATAGTAAAACACATTGTATTAAATTAATATCAACATTTTATTTTAATTATGAAGTTTTGAAATTTTTAAAAAAAAAAAAAATTAAAATCCGCGATAATGCTGCGCCACTTAATAAAAATGACAAAGTAGTTTTAAAAAATGCTTGTTAGCGTTAAAGCAAGTATCAAATTATAATATTTGGCTAAATTAAAACTTTTTATTAAGCCAAAACTGCTCAATTATATTACACTTCAAAACAAAAAACTTTTCCATCGCATCACATAACGTTAGAGGGCTCAATGAACCTACCAAAAAAAACATTCTTTTTTCAATTTATTCTACATACCATTATGATATATTAGCCCCTACAAGAAACCAATTTTAAACATTTAACCGGTCGGTCAACTGGTCGGTTAAAACCGGTCAGTTAACCGGTCGGTCGGTCAAAGGCCTTTGACCGACCGTTGACTGACCACGACCGACCGTTACCATCCCTAATGTTTACATTGTTATAGATTCAAATCCGGATAGAGAATGTGATTTATTTTATTCCATCAATGCGGATAACTGGTTAATGAGGGCAATGAATTTAAAAAAAAAGTTTATGAAAAGCAAGTGGAACGAATACGTTGCACTCGGAATTCCAAGATAATGAAAAGGGAGGAGAACTCATGACAGGAAATTAAATAAAAGGAAAGAGATTATCCTTCGTCGAATTTTTTATTTGACGTAAATTTGGGCATTTAAAAAGGCAATAATTCCCAAAATCTAACGTAAGTAATTTTATTTATTTCGATCTTTCGACTTTTGTCTAAACTAGAAAAAAAAAAATCTCAAACGGCATTATTTTGCAAATGAGAAATGGTATAATAATAGGAAAACTTTTTATAGTCCGCAGTTTTCCAATTTTAAACTATGCACGAAATGTAACACACGTTATTTTTCTTATCCAGTAAAACAATAGACGTTTATAAGGGGCAATATGAAAAGTTAAATTATTCTCGTGATAACCAAAGGTGATTCTTGCATGCAATTTATTTATAGTTTATGAGCGAAGAGCATAACCTTTTACAAATCTTACAAAAAAAAAAATTAACGTTATATGATCAGATTAATCCATTAAACAAATATTCATTCATGTTTAGCTGCTTGATCCATAACGTAAAATAATATTATTGTTTAATTATTACAAAGACTACTAGTATTTATTTATAAATTCGTTGAAATAATCAAGTGAGAAATGTACGATATATTAAAAGAATTTAAAGAATTTTCTAAAAAATAGCTATTTGTACAATAAAAAAAAAATTATAAGAATAAAAAAGGAAATAATAAAAACTAAGCTAATTTACTATATTAGGAAGGATCATTTGATGTTTTTATTCTTCCATAATTGGCTGCAGATCTCATTGATTCAATAAAAATAAGTAAATAAATTTACCTCCGTTGATCCGAACCATTAGATAATGGAGTCTAATTTATTCGACGACGCAGAAGATTGAACGTGTATAAAAGGTTAGCCATTTCGCTTTGATTATTTTCACCACAATCTAGTGTTGAATTAATTCTCACTAAAGTTAAAAAAAGAAAAAAAAAATTTTTCCCATAAATAATATAGACAATATGAATCTTCAAGACCTTCTCCTCGTTGCGTTATTCTCAATTTTCATAATCCAAGTTCAAGCCACCGGACATTACAACGATTATGAGGATTGGGAACATGATTATCCCGATAACTGTGAAGAACTATTCAAAACAAAAAATTGTAACAAATGTCAAAAACTCATGTGGGATCATTTCGAAAACCCTGGACAATGTGCTACGGCCTTCAATGTAGGAAAAAAAATTCTTGAAGCTATCAAGGATTCCAATGAATCTCCAAAACCATATGATCTTGAATACTTTGAGAAAGGTGTGACTAAATACTGCCATCAAGACTTTCATTGTGAACAAAGAGAAGTTGAAAAAATCTATAAAAAGATTGAAAAGGTTTGCTCAAAAGAATTATCGGTTAAGTTTGATTGGAGTGCTCATCCTAAAACTTATAAAGATAAAACCGCTTATGCTGCTTATGGAACTTTACTCGTCTACTATACTGGAATCCCCAGTCGAAAAGCCATCTGCTTAAAGAATGACAATGGCGGTAAGTAATCATTATATGCTGCGTAATTATTAAACATTTTCTTTAATACAATCTAACTATAAAAAAATTTTTATTTACAGATCTTTGCAGTATTAAATTCACCAAGAAATTTGTTAAATGGATGAAGAAGGTGACTAAATCTGACCCAGAAGCTATTGTTAGCCATGACTACCAATTCGTTATCAAAGGAAATGGAAAGAAAATCCGTATCCCAAAATCGTTCCAATGCGATCCATGCTGGAGAAAAATGGCCAAGTTTTTCATTGAATACATTGAAAAACATAAATTAAAGAAATCTATTGAAGATAACCTTTGGGGATCTGAACATCACCACGATGATCTTCCACACTGTATTAATAAACGTGGTTTGGCTCAAGTATTAAACGAAAGAAGTGAATTGAATGTTAACAAACGTAGCGCAATGCCTTCCTTTGGTGTTTCAAGACATTCTTTAACAATTTAACCTAGTATGTAGATTTTTATAGATTTATATATATCAATTTAACATGTAGACTTTACTTAAGAGTACTTTAATAAACAATTTAATAAATATTAATATTCGAATTTTGAGTAAAGATAATCTTCCTTACTCGATAGAAATTTTATATTAAATAAGGGATGTTTGCGCATTATCGACTTTCACATAATAAATAATAATTTGGCAGCGAACAATCTCTTTTTGCAATAATTTTGTAAGTAATAAAGCAATGCACTCTTCAGAATTTCTAATTGCTAAAAGACTACATTTGCTGAAAAATGATGGAGTAGCAGCTTCAAAATTCTTGAACTTTATAAAATATACGCAGTATTTAAAAGTAAATCATATTCCGTATCATATACGAATCGCTAATTATTCATTGAAAAGATCCGAAATTTTTATCTAATTTCTGTATTATAATTGCTTTAAAAAACTTTGTTTCAAATTTATCAGTAGCATACATAATTCACAAATTGACCATAATAATTGTTCTATAATTATAATATTAATAATGTCCTAAAATTCATACGTAATGAAAGATTATTAAATGATAAGAAAATAATAAGAAATAGCAGTGACAAATACATTTTTATTAATTTAAAATCAATATATTTATAGGGAGAGAAGAAAATAAAGTTCTTGCTTGCTTTGAATTATGGAATATATAGAGAGGAAGAAAACA